TGCGTGGGGGCGGCGTGCAGCCTTCGAGGCCCTGCTTGCCTTTGGCCGTGCATCCCTGGTGGGACAGAAGGGCGGCCTCTGCTTCCTGGCATGAGGCTGACATAGAGCTGTGCTGTGGAGCCGTGCTGGGGGCAAGGCGCATCCCTGGCACCGTGGCCATTCAGAACAACCTGTGGCCATGCTCCTGGCTGCCCCAGTGAGGTGAGGGCTGGGGGAGCAGTGTGGGTGGGCTCTGTGGGGATGAGGTAACGTCTGTGCCTGCCGGCACCAGGAGGGGAGTGGGATGGGAGAGTGGGTGGCTGGGGGGGCGCCTGGGTGGGCCTCCCCTGTCCCTCTGCTCACCCCCAGGCTGGAAATGCCTGTGGTTCGCAGGGAGATGTGTGCTGCCTGACCAGCCCTAAGTCACTGCACTCGCTGCCTGCCCCAGGACAGCTCTGAGGGGCAGCTGGGCCTCCTGCCGAGGCTGAGCCAGCGCTGCCTCCCTGTTCAGCCACATGGGGACAGGGCCCCAGGGTGCTGGCATGGACCCCAGCCATGCCTGAGAGCAGGGCGTGAGTAGTGCTGAGCCCTCTGCTATTGCTGAAGGGGAGAGGCTGCACTGGGGTACTGTGCTGGGAAGCTGAGTGATCCAGGGGTCCCTACCTCCCCCTGGGTCAGGCCTGTGTGGTGTCTTGTGCTGGGCTGAGCCTTGCATGAGGGAGCCTGGGCCCTGGCAGACCCCTGCCTTCCCTCTGCTCCCACATCGCCGCTCGGCTGTCCCTGCTCTCCCTGACTCTGTTGTCTCACAGCTGACACCGGGCGGGAAGGCAGCGCAGGCCGGCGTGGGAGTGGGCGACTGGGTGCTGTACATCGATGGGGAGAGCACCAGTTCCATGACGCACATCGAGGCCCAGAACAGGATCCGTGCCTGTGGGGACAGGCTCTGCCTCACCCTGAGCAGGTAGGGATTGGTGGGTCCTGCAAACCTGGAGTCTTGGTGTGGCCACAGCCGAGCCAGGGCCTCTGCCCAGTGCCATCTCCTGGCATTGCCATTTCCCAGCATCACTGCTCTTTGCTGGGAGCCTGGTGCCCCCTGGCTGGGTCTGAGGGCTCTACTTGGCTGGATGAGGCTTAGCCTGTCTGCGGGCCCTCACCTGCGAGCCATGGGGCAGCTGAGGCTCCTCTTGGGTGGGTGCTGTGTTCTTGGGCTACCAGAGTCCTGGCAGTGGCTGAGCCAGTTCCAGCACCTGCCTGAATGTCTCCTCTCTTGCAGAGCCCAGAACCACCTGGGGAAGCCGCAGAAGGTACGTGTTGCTCCTGGTGCTACAGCGGCAGCTCAACCTTGTCTCAGGGGAGGGTAATCTCTGAGCATAGATGGACAAATGGACTTTGCTCCTGGGGCCTGCAGGCTTCTGGGGGACTGGGGTGTGTTTGGAGGGCTGGAAAACTCCTCACTGGAGGAACAGCTCTGACCCCTGGCACCGCAGGGG